GAAAAAGAGGGAGAGAAGAGAAAAGGAGAGAGAGGAAAGGAGAGAGAGAGAGAGAGAGAGAGAGAGAGATAGAGAGAGATAGAGAGAGAGAGAGAGACTGACCTGTAAGTGTGACAATTGGCCTAATGCTTGCATGCTCTGCTAGCGCCTTTATGCACTGGTCACGACTCATGTGAAGTAACAAGCATCTCTCTATAAGATGTTGAACCTGTTTTTACATGTATCAGTATTTCCATGCAAAAGTAAGACCATGCATAAGTCCAATGAGAGAGAGAGAGAGAGAGAGTACACCATTCTTATGTAGCTGTGAGGGTTGCAAAGCAAACATGGACCGAGGTGATGGTTGTGATACATTTTCTCCTGAGTCTTGAGTACGGTTTAGACAAAACCAAAAGGCATGAATGACTGAAAAGAAGGATATAATAGAATAGAGAAGAGAGGGAGGGAGAGAGAGGTAGCAAGAAAACAAAGAAAGCCCAAAAAGTGCAAGGATCATGGGAAAGATATTTGGAGGACCATATACAAAAAAGAAGAGCCAGGATACTAAAATGGCACATTGCTATGTTATCCACAGAAATCCAAGCGAGGGGCCAAAAGAGCACAAGAAATCCAAACGATAGATTCACACCTCATCTCCAAAGAGATAACAAAACAATTGCGTTTATGATGATGGCAAGTGCGCGTGGCCAGGCCTCTAGCCACTTGATCAGGACTTGAAATCCTCCACCCTTGGCTACGCTAGGCCCTATCAAACCCATTTGCTACCTGCTTTTCTGTTTCCGGGTCCTACATTCTTTACTGTATATGCCCATTTCCATGACTTAGAGCACTTCCACCCATTTTTCATGATAAAAGATAGGGAGTTTCACTAAAACACCCAAAATGGAGGTTGAAATTATAAAAAAACCCAACACCCAAAACACTTTATAAACACACCCAAAACCCATCATTACACACACTTAAAACCCATTTATAAACACACCCAAAAAGTTGACTTTGAGGTTGATTTTGGGTGTGTTTCTATGTTTAAATAGTGCTTAGATTTTTTTATAAATACATGTCTAGGATTGGGTTTATTTATAAATTTGTATAAAAGATAAGGGGAGGCAAGGGCATATGAATAGTATCTGCCCTTGCAAAAAGCAAGATGTGTTTCCACCCATTGCAATGGCAAGGGGCAAATGCTATTCACTTTTCGTTGTTTTTTTAATCTAAACAATTAGTTTGGTTGTGGTTTATTTTAAAGGGCTTGTCCAATATAGACCCCTACATGTTCTATTTCCTACACATATACCCATCACTCTATAAATCTATGTGTAAAACCCAATTTCAAATTTAAATGACCAGTAGGATATAAGAGGTCGTAGTATTTCTATGTTTTTACATCGTTGCCACTAAACTTCATATTTTATTTATAATTTTATTTCAAGCATTTCATTAACTGCCATAATTGTAATTAATATACTCCCTATTAATAGCATATCAATCACCCCATTTCTTTTAGTTGTCATTCCCTCTCACATCTCGCCC